GTGAGAGAGAGAGAGAGAGAGAGACAGACAGACAGACAGACAGACAGACAGACAGACAGACAGGCAGACAGAGAGAAAGAAGCTTCTACTAACTATCTGACAAAAATACATTAACATTGACCAACACGTTAAGAGATACAAAAGCTCTTCCCGTTTGAATGGACTTATTTCAATCGATAAAGTATTCAGTGTCACAAGCATCTCAAAGCCACAGGATTGATTGGTGTACTATTGATCGTCATTTCGATTTATTTCGACCGTGAATGTTTAATGGTATTTTAGCCCCCGTAGACTCAGTAATTAGAACGTGCCAGTCGCGAGGGAGGTGATGAAGAATTGCGGCGACTTTACGTCTTGTTAGTTAGGGGAAACTAACTATCTCCACCCAGCCAACAGTTTATTATCGGCTCACTGCTGTTTTCTTGAAGAATTATTTTCGCTTTAAGTTTTTACGAATTTAGAGACACAACCAAGACTTGACTTGTCAATTATTTTCGCTTTAAGTTTAAGTTTTTACGAATTTAGAGACACAGCCAAGACATTTCGAATATTGTGTAGATTTTGCGAAGCTCTCCGCCCGTTACTCGGCTGACAAATTTCTCATCGAGAGAAGGAATGGATGAATAAATTCATTTTATTATATATGAATTAATGTATAGATTTATACATAAGTAGATAAATATATAAATAAACATTACGACAAAAACAGAATTTGTAAGAGAAAAATTAATAAGACAATAAATAGAACAAACCATAAAAATGTTTTTTTTGTAAAAAAAAAAGGAAAAATAAATCAATAAATAGCGAGATTCATACGTGCATTGTCTTCATTTGGGGGAAACCAAACTAAACTGAGTCTAAAAAAGTAAGACAACAAAATAATGGCCAAGTCGCCCAACTGAGGCCGTAGTTCGAACCTCACTCTCTCATGGACTAATCCTGTTCTGAAAATTCGGAAGTTCGGAAGAGAGAGGAATAAGGACAGTAAACAGGGCAAAACAGATTCGAGGTACGGAGGGCAAAACTGCTATGGCAACGCGCAGAGAAGCAACGCATAACAAGGAGTGTACACGATGCGACTCGTCGAAGTCGAAAGTGGAACTGTAAAGTCATTCGATTTCGAATCGTCTCCTTAAGACCGCCCC